CGGGGGCTTCAGTAACTGCTCCGCGCCCAGCTGGTCCCTCTGCGCTTTAAGTGATGCCTCTCAGTTGTGACAAAATCAGTTAAAGTGAATGGAGGCCACATTGGACATGCTTTGGTGAAGGAGCCAGAGGTGACGTGTGTGCATACACAGCGAGAACACTATAGAATATACCCATAAGTTATCCCTGAGGGTTATTTCATCTCAGTGATGTCGGTATTAAGTTATGCATTTATGTTATTTCAGTAGCTTTTTCAGGTGGCAGCTTCTTGGCCCTCATGACAGGTTCATAATACACGGTGTGCAGAACCATGGTAGCTGAGTTCGGCGAGGGAAGCTCGTGCAGGGAGCCCTGTCACGCCGCCGCAGCAGCTCCCGGTTATCCTGCTCCGATCACCTATGTACAAGAGAAAATAGGCTGTAGCAAGGGCTGGACCAGGATTAAGGGTCTCTAATGAGGCTTGGCGCCGGACTTGTCTCTTGAGACTTCTTGGAGCAGCCTTCTTGCAAGCCATCACACTCAGATACGCTCAAAAATACTTTAAATATTGCAAGTCTGCGACAGCTTTCAGTCACAGGGGGGACAAGGGTTGTTCCTGCAATTCTGTGCGATATGAGTTCTTTTGACATGGTGCTGGGCTCTGCTTTAACCATAGGAAACAGGACAAATATAAAGAGTTGAGAATATCTGGGTTGTGATGGCATAGAAAAGTTCACCTAAATAAGCTGGTTGTTTTCTAGATTTGCTTTTCTCTCCATGTTCCTGGTCAAGGAGCAGGGTATTTTTATGCTGTGAAATAAGGTTAACTTTAGGGTTTTCTTCTTTGCTTCCTTAGCTCTGTCAACTTCCTTGGATATTGGTCTGAGTAACTGGAGTTTCCTATACATTACTGTCTCCCTGTGAGTACAAATCCCCCCTCCCAGGGATTCCTTTGGTGGGGTTTGGGAAGTGCTCCGTCAGGTTCAGTTTTTGGATGGCATGTGGCTTCATGGGGTTGGCACATGGAGAACAATGATAATCTGTTGGTAGTGATATAGAAGTGGGTGGTCTAGATCCTAATAGTGATTTACTGGGAAGGACTGAATTGGAAAAGACTGACAGTGTGTTCTGGTCATTACAGCTACACCATGACAAAATCCTCTGCCATTATCTTCATCTTGCTGTTTTCACTACTCTTCAAACTGGAGGAAGTGGTAAGAGTCCCATGCAATGCTTTAGGGAGTCAGAAGGTTAGGCCTAGGAAGATAGGGAAAATATGCTATACAGCACAGAGAAATATATAAATGGAAGAGGAATGCAAATGTGTGGATGGATCTGAAGAAGAGGAGGTGTCTGTCTTTGTTCAGTTCCAGGAGTCTCCGTAGTGACTTTGTGTTTGCTCTCACCCAGAGGGTGGCATTGGTGCTGGTGGTTCTGCTCATCGCTGGGGGGCTCTTCATGTTCACCTACAAGTCCACGCAGTTCAACACACAGGGGTTCATGCTGGTGCTGTGTGCTTCTTTCCTTGGGGGTATTCGCTGGACTCTCACACAGATACTTATGCAGAAGGCTGAACTGGGTATGTAGGGAGTTAGGAAGGGGGTGATGGTGCTGGTGGTGGGGAGGGGAATGAGGAGGCGGTAGCCTTGCTGCAGATATAAAACTTTGTATGTAAGAAATGGCATTTGAAAATTGGGACAGAAGTGTTTGGTGGGCAATGGAAGTGGCTTGGCCTCTGCAGCAATGTAGGGATGGGCATTGCAAATAAGGCTCTTGGCCTCTTGTGTTCTGTTACTGATTCTCCTCTTTCAGGACTCCAGAACCCCATCGATACCATGTTTTACCTGCAGCCGCTCATGTTCCTGGGGCTCTTCCCTCTCTTTGCTGTGTTTGAGGGTGCGTGAGTTAATTGGTGAAAGCAAGAACGGCTTTTTGGAATGGTTGGGGAGATTGCTCAGCATTTTTTTGTCTGAGATAATTCATGAAGATAAGAGAACCACTGCAAATTTACAATGTAGTTAGAGACCTTGAGTTAAAAATGTCAAAGATAGCCTTTGTGTTGCAAAATATTAAAGAGCATACAGGAATGGTAGCATGGTATACTTGTGAAAATAAGGTCTTAAAGAACCATCTCAACATCCTCCTGAAAGTGGCATGTGAACAGCCTACCCCTATCTTGTGGGTCATCCCAGCTGTTGGCAAAGGTCGTGTACTACTCATTTTCTTGTTCCATAGGCCTGCCTTTGTCTCGGTCAGAGAAGCTCTTCCGTTTCCCTGAAGCAGGCGTGCTGCTCTGCCTGATAGGGAAGTTGTTCTTGGGTGGAATCCTTGCCTTTGGACTAGGTTTTTCTGAGTTCCTCTTGGTTTCCAGGACATCTAGTCTCACGCTTTCTATTGCTGGCATTTTTAAGGTAAGGCATGATTCCTTGTGCTATCGCCAGAAGGCAAGTGTTGTGCCATCCCTAATGGCCTTTGAAGGGTGGGACCCTACAAACCCTTGCAGCCCTAGGATCAGGATCTCCTGTTGTTTTTGTTCTTGCTGTGAGCTTGCTTGCCTCTCCTAGAGGCTCAATTACGTGGCCTCATGATTTATGGATACTGGGAGGATTGGGAGGAAAGGAAGGTGAGTAAGGAGGACACTGTCTTGCTTCAGACCTGGATTCTATTCTTGAATCTGTTTTTAGAACTCTCCACACTGAGGAATATGCTGAGGAAAATTAGTAGCTTAATATAGACATCTTGATATAGGCTTGCGCTGTAAAATATCTCATGCCTATTCCATCAATTCTTGCCCTGACACCTCTCATGTTTTTTCTTTCCACAGGAAATCTGCATTTTACTCCTTGCCACACGTGTGCTGGGAGACCACCTCAGTCTCTTGAACTGGCTGGGCTTTGCTGTCTGTCTTTCAGGAATCTCTCTGCATGTCATTCTCAAAGCCATTAATTCCAAAGGTGATTATGTTTTAAATCCCCTTCTGATTCTCTGTAGTTGTTCCTGTAACTTCCCTGTGAGCCAAGCCTAGGCCTAGCTCCTTGCTAATCTTAGGTTTCATGGTTATTCTAGTGAGTTAGTCGCTAAATGGACTATCTGCATGCAGGTGAAAAAGCACTGAAACTTCACAAAGAGTCCAGCTCCAACCCTGACCTGGAGCTGCTGCTGCGACATACTGAATGTGAGGAGGAGGAAGAGGAAGATGTTGGAACTGCACAGCAGCAGTGACTGAGCCTGAAACACAAAGTCGCTTGCTCTGCGTCCCTGTTGGACGTACCTGACAGCTGCCTAGGAGGAAGGTCAAGAGTCTCTGTCCCTGTCTTCCCAAAGGAAATCCAGGGCCTGGGTGAGAGTCCTGTTGTTCTGCTAAAGTATCAGTCTGTGAAGGTTGCACATGAAACAGGCAGTGCCTCGTCCTCCAGTGATTGAATTTGGAATACAAGCCCTGGATCTGTGGAAGTAGAATGGAATGGTGAGAATGGGAAATGCTATAAAACACTCGCTGGGAAATCCTGAAGAGTGTACAATGGGAATGTAAGTCACGAACTGTAGAGTGAACGTGAGCATGTCTGAGAAATGCAGGTGA